TGTTTTCATCTTGGCAAGTTATAGTTCACCCGTTTTGTGTGCGGTGATGTAGGGGTAGTGTTTGAGCTCAACAGCTCAAGTTGTTTGCTGTTGCGTGTTAAGTCTATAGGCATTGTGGTGGGGTAAGTGGGAACGACTGGTGCAGGACACATCGTGGTTTTGTACAGTCGTAGTGTCCTGTCAACAATTTGACCAGAATCGAGGGCAGCTCGCCTTTTCCGTCCCAACAAACTAGTGCACCAATCCAGAATTCTATAAGTCAGCGTGGCACATGTCCCCCCCCGCCTGACGAGATACACTGTGCTTGCACACATCGGCTCAAGGCGTGACAAACTGATGTAAATGCGTCCACCTTTGAAGGGGGTTTTCGCCTGAGCCTGACAGGGGGTTACTCTTGAAGCCCTTTCTTGTTTGTGGGAAGTAGGTGGGATATTGTTTCCTGTTCATGCTGATGCTTGATATCATTGTGCTCAAGTCTTCACAGGGTTCTATGACACTGATGACAACTTGCCATTCGGGGATACTTTTCACATCATGATCCCGTTTGAGATTGGCATCTTTGATTCTCAAGATTGGATCTTTGATTCTGAAGCGACATATTCAGGGTTGACTGTTGTGGAGAGCTCTGGCTGATCATCTAGCGCGACAAGATACATCTTCTCGGATTGTCTTTAGATGTGCGCAATGTATGTGGGGACCTGATGCTATTGGGCTTGAAGGGGGTGCCCTTTTGGCGGGGGGGGAGTGGGTCGCCTTGATGCGCTCAGGATGACGTGCAAGCTGAAGGACATCCCAGAGGCCCAGACCAAAAGGCTTAGCATCCCAGAAAAGAAATGCAGACTGTCGCAGCCTTGCTCGTGGATTCGAAGAAGTTGAGGTATGGCCCATAAGGGTCCGCCCGAAAAGAAGAGGAGTTGGTATGGCCCATAAGGGTCCGCTTGTATTAGGCTTGTGCTTTTTCAGACTACCTCACTGCTTTTTCAGTCAGCGGGCCCCTAGGACCGGAGGATGGATCGTTTCCAAATGGCTGTGGGTCAAAACTTCGGGTGAACACCAAAATAGGTGATACATGGGTGTTCATCCGCCCCAAAATGGAGGCATAGGTTATGAAACTATGACCCATGGCCAACTGGTGGCAGAAGGACAACCTGGGCACGTCTTCTGAAGGCTTCGACATGCGACGCCGTTGCACCGGCCGATCCGAGCTGCAAGGATGCCCGGGACTTCCGCGGCAAGGTCTGCTTCGAGCCCCAGGCCGGACGGGGCGACAGGAGACTGCTTTGTTGCAGGGCTACACCGAGTCTTTCAAAGGCGCGAGAATCCAATGGCCAACATTCACAGTATCCCTAAAACAGTCACAGGATCCTGAATTCGAAAAAACGTTCTACAATAGAGGGGACTATTAGATCAATCTTCATGTTGCAACATCTCTAGGGTCCTTGGCCCGCGTGTAGCCAGTTTTACTTTGCCATGTGTGGATAATTGGGTTTTAAAAAACTTCGGGTGATCTAGAACATGACTGGCATGGGCATGGAACTTCCCCGGCTCCGCGACAGCTCCGAAGCCGCTCCGCAGCTCCTCACCCGCTCCGCACCCGCGTCCGTTGGCGACCGAGCTGCCCGTTTTTTAGCGGCTTGGAGTCTATTCTGCGCACGAGGCTTTGTGGGTCTTATTTGCCCGGCGCCGACAACGTGGACCGTTTGGCTTCCCAGTTTTGAGTCATCGCCTCTGGTTGGTGGCGTTCAAATTTCTGCAGGCAGACGCGCCAGACGCGCCAGAGGTGCGGATGGGCAGTCAAGTGGGGAGCGGGCTTGGGCTGAAACGGGCGCTTTAGGGGAATCGGTGCTTCAAGGAAACCAAACAGTTGCCCAACAATTTTCGGGATGCAATGCTCCTATCCCTCAATACACCTTGCACCACCGTGTGTTCATGATTATTGGTTTCTGGAACCTGGTTGGGCCTGGCATTCGGAAGCCTTGTGTTCCTTGTGTAAAGTTTGCGTTCACCTTCCGAATGAATGGGGTGAATGAAGTCACAGGGCGATGGGCCTGAGCAAGCGTGCTTTCTTGACAGGAGGGCTCACTTGTGACGTCTCATGGCGAGGCCATGATGAAGCTCCTTTTTGGGGCGTTTCAGTACATCAGACATCACGTCATCGCAATTCCTGGGTTTCGGGAACCCTACCTTGGGCCACGCCCATGTGGCTATGGTATTGAAATGGGACAGGGGGCTCCCCATTTTCAGCATCACGAGATCCTGCAGCCAGGCGCCCAGAGAGGCCGAAGTTTCGGATGGGGCTGGTGGCTTTGACGGTCTTTCTTGGTGTCAAGTCGGCGGGTTTCCCTTGAAACAACTGGGCGCGGATGTACCGAGTGGGACCCCTTCCAAGCGTTTAGACTTTGTTGGGGCCCCTTCATTCTAGAAAAGGGTGTCAAAGACCTTTGGGTGCGAGTTGGGGCTTCAAGGCTCAATGAGACATCTTGTTGCAACGGCGGTGAAAGCAACTCAGATATTACCCAGGTACTTCTGATACGGCAGCATGCTCCTTTCGGATGAAAACTTGCTTAAGCTGATTCCCTTGTTTAAAGGAAAACCAAACGTAAAGGGAAACCACACGGACACGATTGCCATTTCTTGGCATTCCCTTCAGAAGCACCTTATGACGTACTGAACAAATCTGCCGACATCTGGACAGGTTTCACGTGTATCTCACTCCCTGAGCTGATGGGCTTGCTTTTGGGAAGACCATTTTTTAGTATAAAGGTTCAGACTTTTGGACATTGAGAAATTGAGCTTCCACATACTTATGGACTGGACGATTCAAGAAAGTTCAGACTTCGGGCCAATTCACTGAAGTGAAGCGGGGCTTTCTTTTGGGCTTGGGAACGAGGGTCCGTTGAGGCGTTGTTCCAAAGTTCAAAGGGTGAGATGGGCCATATGACTGTGGGTCAAAAATATGGTAACCCCAAAATGGAATCCTGGTAAATGGACACATGGACTAAAACCTGTGGTCCCCCGGTGGTTTAATTTTGACCCATACCCATATGGGTATGTGTTAATTTGGGAGTCCGGAACAAGCAATTCTTCAGTTGGTTTTCTGTTAAGCCAGGGGAAAAAGGCTACCGTCAAGAAATGCCCTCACTCGCAAGGGCTTGGGGTTCGCAATCTGGCCATTACTTGCTCATGTGCTTGTGAACCATGTGGCCTCCGCGGTTCTTGGAAAAGCCGCCCGCAAGCTTCTGCCTTGGAGCAGTTGCCCCTCATGCTGCCTCTTTTTCCCCGCGACGGAGTACAACGACTAACGATGCCCCCGGTGGTTCAAGTTGGGGGGAGGGGGGAGGGGTCCTCAAACAGGTTTTGCATGGCTGTGGACATTTTTTTTTGGCAACAAGCCAGTTTACAGGTCCGAAAATTGAGGCACACTCAAACATGGTTGCCAGAAATAAGCATACTGTGGACGAAATCCTGCAAAACCAAAGTACCCCTGGAATGGTGCTTTCCCAGTAGATACCAAGGAATGGTTTCCCCATGGTTTCCCATGGTTCCCCAGTGCGAACTGGATTTCGCAACCATCCACGGTATCATTTCCAGTCGGCAGTGAAGCTCCACCCCCGGCCATCGCCAGGTTTACATCCGGTCTCGCTTTGAGCCGCTGGTGCTGCCGCAGGGCCCGTGCCCACACCTCGGAGCGGCGAGTGGCCCTGATTTCTGAAATTAAGGGGCTCGCGACTTATCATTTTGGGGACGAACGCCATGTTTTGCTCTTTGGGTTTTTGGGAGGCTCTGGGTACTGGTTGGCAAGTCCTCCTTCTTCACCGTTTGCCGTGGCTGTGTCACAGATCCCTCTCTTACTTCACAGGTTGTTCCTTTGTGATCAGTTGCTCGGGACTTAAAGTTAATTACTTCCGTTGGTTGATTTTTTTGCCTAGGCTGTTTCCCAGTTGCCGTGTTGGTGCCTTACTAGCTACCCTTGACGTGCCCAAAGCTTGTGAACACCTTCCAAGGTTTGATCAATGCCCAGCCATGGGCCTGCGTTTTGTGTTTTCTTTTTGCCGCGTGACCCCCCCTCAATACCAAGCTCGCAGTCCCAGCCTCATGCTTCCCCTTAAGCACGGAGCCATGTGTGGGGGCCGGGGCGACTGCTTGGCATTCCATTTGCAATGGCGTGCCCGAAAGTTGGTGTGGAGAAAGACAAGATGATTAATACCAGCACCCGGGTCCCAACAAGTGCTTTCTCCCATGTCCAAAACCCAAGAGTCCAAAAAGCAGTGGGTGGGACCCGGGGTGCTGGTTTTGGTTTCTTTCAATAATAAAGTATAGTCACTACCGACACAATAACACGGGGGGTGTCCTAAAGGGTTGGACCTCTTTTGGGTAGTTGTTTACCAGCAACTAAAGGCACTCCCATACCATATATACGTCTCAAATTTCTATTCCAGTTGAGCATTCACTTTCAAACTTTGTTTTGCCACACTGGAGAACACCAACTTCCTGAGATTGAAGAGGGCTTCGCACCCTTCAGCTCCTTTTTTTTGGGGGGATGGGGGATTGGTGAACCCGCGCCGGCTGTTTTTGGGGCCCCCTTTCTGGGGATCCCGTTTGCTTGGCCCAGGCCAGGGCCTTTTGCAGCGAATGCGTCTGGAAGGCTTCGGACAGTCCGGGCGCCCAGTTCTCAGGCGACATGTCCCAAGCGGACCTGGTGTTTCCAAGGCGACAGGTCCCCAAGCGTTTGTGCATTTGGTCCAGAGCCAGTTTTGACGCATCCGGGGGCAAAGGATCTGGGTGAATTATAACGACCTCACACGACCGAATTCACCCAAATGGTGGTTTATGTGGGGAATATCCCCCTCCCGCCTTATTTCAGGCTGGTGAAATATTGTAATTCACCCAGAAAGGATTCAGGTCAACCACAAGGGCCTCGTTCACGCTTCGCATTTCGGCATGTTGTGCCTTTCTAGGCGGGGGATCCTCGAACACTTTTACCCGTTTGGACGACATGGGTCGTGTCTCGTTTGAGGGACGGACGTTCGGCCGGCAAAGAGAGCAAGGGCTTGCCATGTAGATGTTCGGGCTGGTGGCTTTGTTGGTTGTGGCTTTCACTCAGCACATGTACAGCCTTGAGCTTCCGACAAGTTGGTTCCAGGGACATATCTGACCCAATGTGATTGGGAGGGGCGTGGGCCAGAATTGACCTAACATCTCCAGGACTGGGCAAAGCAACTGTCATTTTGATTCTCGAAATGTGGGGTCACTTCAGCGCGGATCATGATCGGGGTTTCAGGTCCAAGGTCTCTGTTGTTGGCTGCTGAGCTTGGAAGCTGAGACTCTTGCCGGACGACTTATGGCGGCAGACCCGGGCACATAATCTGAGCCTTGGGAGGTTTGCAGTTGCTAGGCTCCGTGCTGTCGTCGGAAAAGTAGAAAGCAAAACAGCCAAAGCTCACGCTCAGCATGTGCATGGGAGAGATGACACTGTATTTTGTTTGCAGAGACCTTCCCCCAGCTTGCATTGGGAGCTACAATGGAATGATCAGCCGCGCATCCAAACACATGCTCGGAGGCAGTTACATGCCAAAGGAAAGACGCCTTCCAATTCACATGTTATCAAATCCTTTGATTGTTCCTCGTGAAATCAGAAAGAAGAACCACTTATTATGTTGCTTCTTTAACACTTGATTGGCATGCTGGAGCAGGAACACTGACATAGCTGCACACTCCGTAATTCACTTGGCTAGTTGAGCTTCTGGAGCAAGGGCAATACCCCCCCCAAAAAAACAAAACAAAAACAGCAGCACATGGGCGTTATGACTCAGCCCAGAATCTTCCTCTGAGTGCGGAGTTTCGCTGCAAAAGCCAGCAACGCACGAGGCAAGTTTACGTTTGTCGCATCGCGACTGGACAGAAGGGAGTTGGGACATATCTCGATGCTGAGAATGCGACATTATTAAAGTCACGAGAGCGCAGGTAAGGAGTTCTGCTTCCTGCTTTGGTGGGGATTGGTTGGGGTCTGTCTTGACATAATTTTACATGTTTAGGTTGACCTGAATTATGACCGATATTAGTCAATCATTTGATCCCAAAGTGCATGTGTTTTCTGACTGCTCCCTCTGAAGGGGACACCAACATGGAACTGTCGAATTTCCCATTTCTGGGCCCAAACATTGAACTATTCCTAGCTACTCTCGGGCAACTTCACACGGCACCCAAAAGGGGTGGGGTCCAAACAGATCAATCCGCCAGAAAAGATGCTGGTCGTTTGGGTTCCACGCAGCATGCCGGACAGTACTCGTGTGAGAGAAGTGGCAACGGGAGGATCCTGCAGTTTCGCAAGCAGTTCCACGAGTGGATGGAGCTGGAGGGCGAAGAGGACACCTGCAAGGCTGTGAATTCCCATGCGCTGCGGTCATAGTTCGTTCAAGGCCACCAGCTTGAAATCGATTGCCCTTCAACAGTCCAAAATCCAAACAGGGGGTCAGTCCAGTATTGCCCCCCCCCCCCCCCCGCGGTATTGACATCAACGGGCTTTTGAGTCCTGCCCTCGCTCCATCCTGTCTTTTCGAGCGAGGTTCTCCACTAGCCTTTGATGGTGTCATGTTGGCCCCCTGGGCATGTCTATGTTGGCTCAGCAGGGCAGTCTTACATCAGGTAAAGTATGTTTTTCAAGAAGATGTAAGGACCCCCAAGAAAGAAATCGTCAGTGTCGTGGGCTTTCGGCTGTATCAACCTATATTATATTATATATATACTGCATCGGCCCAGACCTGCTGCTGCAGCAATCTTCCCAAACGTCAAAATGGTGGCTTGCCGCATGTTTTGTGGGGGTTGCCACAGCTTTGGTTTGGTCGAGTTTACGGGTGGGCCAGCTGTGCGTGAGCGTGGCCTCGATGACGCTTCCCATAAAATGAGCCGAAATGATCAGTTGCTCGGCAACGCTATTTTTCAACGAAACGGGATCCTTTTGGGAAAGGATGGTGTTTAAGGGAACGGACCTCTCACGAACCATGCGAGGGCCGCTTCCTGGTTTGAACACACAGCCAACCGCAGTCATACGGGCATGTCATAAACGAGGGGACTATATGTGATTGGTTGTCATCCGATTTCGCTTTGACCTGCCTTTCAAAGGTGGATTGCTAGTTGTTAGCGCTGGCACGTGTAGGCTTCGAACGTGAGGTCGCGAAAGATTGCGCCTGGACATGCCTGCGCATTTCGTCTAAGCCATGTTTCAATTTTCACGAACAATGGCTTTACAGCTGCTTGCCTTGTAATACATCTAGCCCATCTAGCAGCACACTGCACAAGCAAAGCCAACTCTTCAGCAGAGGCCAACTCACAACAAGGACAGCTCGAAGCCCTTGTAGCAACACACCAAACCAGGCAAACTGAGACTAAAAACGGATATCTTCTCGACTTCTGAAACCAAGCCTGCAACGTACCAAACCAGATACCGGCTTCAAACCCTACCCACGTGAAATTGCCATGTCTCGGACTCCAAATCACCCACCCCGATATACTGAGGGAAGACCTGTTTATGACACCAACAAGGCAGGCACCCAACTTCAAGACCTACTTGCTGTGAACTTGCGCTCATGGCAACAATGGAAAGTCAGGCTAAAACTGTGAAGTCACTGGATATCTTGTCGGTGCCCCTTGGCAAACAAATCCAAAGCCATCAGCACAACCAGCTCGTTAAACAAATGCAGCATAAGACAAGCTTGGGAACCAGATCAAATTGCAATTGTTGTCCCTTCTTCCGGGTCAGGGCGTTTCCTCTTCGGGACACCCATGTCTTGGTTTTCCGCCCACAAACAAGGGATGAAACACAAATTGCTCAACCACCTCTGATATGGCCCCTTTAGGGGGGGGTGACAGTTGGCGATCCTACAACAAGAGACCCTGAGAGGGATGGTGTCTAAAGAGGAACCTAGAGGAAACCCATCATTCCGATCGCCGTGTCCATTTGGGAGGGACATGGATTCCGAAGATTCCAAACACACCGCTTTCTCATGTTCCCACCAGGGGTAGCAGCCATAGGTGTCCTTTTTGGTGGTTTTGGTAGAAACATAGATGGCCCTGGTTTACCTGGTGGTCTAATCATCTACCAGGGCCATCTATCTCCCCTAAAAGGACACCTATGGTAACAGCATTTTCTGGCCGTGGCACATATATCCCACTGCCCTGCACCCGGCAGGTGTCGCTCCTACTGGGCGGTGTGCCCATGTGCAGCTCGCCCTTTCCACGGGGGGCGGGTGGTGGGGGTCGGTGGGGGTTGGCGGGGGTCGGTGGGGGTCGGTGGGGTTCGGTGGGGGTCGGTGGGGGTCGGTGGTCTCACGCCTGAGGACCACGTTTGAAGGGAAATCCCCCCGCGCAGTCAGGTTCTATTTTGGTGAATGGGTTTTCGTTTGTTTGTTTCAGCAGTGAAACTAAAGAGAAACCAGCCATTTTTAGGTCTCTCATTTTGAGAGACCATCTATTGCAGAGAACGAACGTTATGAGTCGAGTCGTTCAAGGTATTTGACAATTAGCAGATCACTCGTGTCAGGTCCTCCGAAAAGGGAACTCCGGTCTGGTCATCCTTCCCCGCCTGAATGACCCCAGTCACCCCCACTTTGGACGCACAGCAATCGCTTTTTGATGCGACTAGACGATCGTCTGGAATCACCGGGGCCCGTTCTACGCGGGTTGGCCGTTCTACGCGGTGTATTCAAGTGAGCCTCTTTTCGGTGTGATGTTGAAAGCGTACAAGCGCCTCTGCAAGTGTGCATAGGGGAGCATTCCAACTATGTGTCGAGGCAGCCGCACATATGTGATTTCAAAGCACAATGATTGGTATATATGAAACCCTTCTTGGATGGCTATAGAAGGACAGGGTCAAACCACCATTCACTTGAAACACAGGGTTTGTGCCCGTTATGTGTTCTTTGATACTTATGATTTGTGTTTATCGGGTAGCCGCGACATATAACCCGGATCCTGCCGACCTCTGAGGCACGAATATCTGACCCTTAGATGTCGGTTGTCGTAGACCTGTATCCTTTTCGCCACATGACTGTGCCCCAGCACGAACTAGCAAACAATTAGACGTTAGCAGTGTTTGAAAAGGCCAGCCCAGTTTGGCTACCAATGAGCAGGCAGCCAAATTCCATGTGTTCGGTACGTGGCCGCGTGTTCGGCTGTAAACGCCATACTTCGTGCCTGGGCCAGGCTTATCCTCCCAGTGCCGTTGATCGGATTGCAACATTTCAGGCCTGGGCCACTTTGAGACCAAAGTTGCCGAGCTGGAGACGAGAGGCGGGGTATTTGTTGGTATGGCTCAGGAGCTGATGTCAGCGTCCTCAAGGCGGCCTGAAGGTCCCTTCAACGGAGATCCTGCATTTCTAAGTTTTGCCGCAATTGTCAGCATTGCGGAGGCTCGTGTTTTTTTTTGCGGCTCACAGTCTGTTGGTCCTGTATGTTGCCAGCTCGAAGTCCGCTTCGTTCGCCTCGAAGTTTGAGGTCAGATCCAAGCGTTTGAGCTCCATGTGCCGAAACGAGCGACAAGCGTGAGGCCCGGGTCCCAAAAGTGGCCCAGCGGTTGCTAGCAACCGCTTAGCTGAATATGCATTTGAAACCTGCAATTCATGCGGCAGAGAAACACAACGTGTGTGTGTGTGTGTGTGTGTGTGTGTGTGTGCGCGTCTGCTTGAAGCCATGGACAGAGTGTCAGCAAGGGTGTCCCTCAGGAAACGGACCGTTTTCCTTCCGATTTCCTTAGCCAAGGGTTTTCCTATTTTGAGACAAACCCATTTACATCCGAGTCGAATCACTGCTACCTTTTGTTGCTGGGTGTCGGCTTTTATCCAGCCGTCTCACACACACACAGCATGCATATAATTGTATAACGCCCTTGAAAATTCGGGAACTCATCTTTTCCAGCGTCCAGACGGATGTTCGCAGTCTGAGGACACCTCAGATTTCCGAGTCAACATGAGTCTGCAAGCAACGATCATTCCATGCCCTTGCACCCCCGACGGTTTTTTCCCTTGTCCAAACTCCCAACAGTCCAACAAGCAGTGGTTGGGATCTGCGGGTAGCAGTTCCAGACGCTTGGTCGTTGACCTTAGCCCTACCAATGTCAGGATTTAGTTTTTGAACTCATAGACTCCATGTGGCCTAATTACAAGCACACATTGCGGTCTGTGGCACTGGAAAACCTGGCATCTTTTCCGCGGGTGGCACCTCGTAACGTTCAGTCAGCACCTTGAGGCTACCTTGAGCTCTGAATCGAGCAGTGTTCACAGGTAGTTGGATGAAAGATATTCCATGCTGGCGCAGGAGTATTTCTTGAGGCGCCGAAAGCTTTGATCCTTGCGTTTGTTCGAGTAGCAAGAAAGGTTGCTGATTTGGAGACCTACCCTTGAACTCTGCAGGCGGCCAGCTGGGAGTCTTGCCAAAGACAACCTACATGCTTCCCCGTACTTGTCCCCCGTCTAGTTTTGCCCGATGACAGGTCGGCCGAAGGAGGCGGGTGTTGGAGATGACAGAGAGATAGTGTTTTGCATTCGAATTCTATCAGAAAAGAGAATCCCTCCCACTACAATATTGACCCTATGGTCTCACAAAAAGCGGGGGAAGCCACCAATTGTCCATGTCTTCTTGGGGAAACGCCCTTTGACTGGGGCTCCTGTAGACCCTGTCCGTCCTCAAAAAAGGGTGACACAGTACTTTGAGACCATTGACAGGCCGTGCGCAAAAGGCGCCCCCTCTCAAGTGAGCAACAGGGCGCCTCTTAAAGCTGGATGTTGGTGGTCCCAACCACTGCTTGTTGCGCTTGGACAGTACGTGGGATGTTGGACATGGGAAAAGGCACTTAGGGGGTGCTGGCAAAGGTTTGACGTTTCAATCCGTGGTTAGAATTTCATTGGGGATGGTAGCTTTGAACCCAAGCCGAGAGAGAAGCCTGGGAGGTCCACGTTCACTCGCACATTTTGGCTGAATCCTTTCGAACCTACGGAAATCACATGAGTACACTCGGGCGTCGAAATTAACACATAAGTGTGCATATAAATTATAGTTAATATAGCCATGCGTCGGGACCAAGATCGGTGGATGTGGTCAATTCCAGTGTGATTTGAGTCAAACAATTGTGGTTTTGTTTTTGGAAGGTTAACAAGTGAACCACATCCACCGATCTTAATCCCAACATGTGAAATGCAGCAAGAAGACGAGCCTTTCAATCGGGCAGCAAACAACGCCGTTCCGTAGAGTCACCCTGATTGCACAGCTCATGAGATGTATTGAACAACAACGGTACCATCTCGTAGCGCAAATAGGGATCAAAGGATACTGACATATTCCCAAGCAGTCAGAATGACAAGGCGCGAAGACTGATGTCTCTTTTCTGGCTGCGCAGCTCTTCTCTGTGAGAATGTGGGTTAAGCCGCTGTGGATAAGCCACTGCAGACAAGCAAGACATGAAGCTGTGACATTCGCAACAGTACAAAGTATGATACGAGGGATTCCTACATTGCTGTAAGGGTCAACCATGTACAATTCAAGTAACACCCCCCCCCCTTTTCCCGCACCGATCTTGGTCCCGACGCAGACCTTAATATACATCACTAAATATATTTGTATATGTGTATATATATATATATAAATATATGTAAACATGTACACAAATAGACATTATGTGCATACATGCATATACTCACAACACAATGGTGCGCATGTCCACCCTGAAAAGGGGTTCCTACTTGAAATGAATGCGAATGGCAGCCAGAGCTGCTTTGGCTCGGCCTGATTCGGCAACCGCTTTCAGGCCCAATGATTGCGCCAGGGCATGGAAGTCTCCAATCTCTGCCTGCTAGCAACGGCCAATCTGAACCTTTGGCGTCTCATTTTGATTTTGACAGAAGTTAAGATCAAAGGACAACGGATGTGTTGGGGGGGGGGTGGTGGTTGCCCGTTTTGTTTTTTTGTTTTTTAATACAAAGCCGTCCAATGCCTCAGACTTCGTTGTGCGACCTTGAACCAGTTGAATCACTTGAACCATTTGCATTTTTGCGCGGGACCCTGGCCTTCCTTGGGCCGAAATCGGGCCTGGCTTTGCGCGGGCCGAAACCGGGGGATGGGATTTTTAGGCAGCCGAGATTGGTGTGCCCCCCGGCCCGTGCGAGCATGGGCAGTTCTCCACTGGAGGTTCCTGCCGTGTTCTCTCCCAAAAGCCAGTTGATTTGGCTTTGGGTTTTCACTTGGGCCGAGATCACGACCCAGAATTTCAGCTGGCACACTTTGCATCTGTGTTAAAAGGGCACATACGTGCCCTGCAACCAACAAGAACATGTCTTCCGGAATTTGCCAGGCCCCGTTTGCAGACGTGGGGTGCAACTTCTTGTGCCCATGGAGATTCCCGGATCTATCACTACTGGAAATATGCCACATCGTTTCCTGGGTTTTGCAAACAGGAGGACATGAGCAAAAACAACACCTGATGGTTCTCTCCACCAATGGAGCAAACCCTGCGTCAGGCAAAGCTCCGCAAGGGCCTGCGCCAACGCAGCGAAGGCCTTGTGGGTGCCCAGGTGGGAGCGAAACTGAAACATGTTTGCACTCAAAATGATGTTCAAAGCCCTGGTCAATGATTTGAACATCAGTTAAAGAGAGAGAGAGAGAGAGAGAGAGAGTGGTTTTGAGCATCACTTGGTTGCCAATTCAACGAGAGTTTCCTCGTGGGATGACAGATGGCCAGAGCATGGATTTCGCTTCACATCTCGAAGGAGTCGCAATCCGCAATCTTTCCGGGATGTGTCGCGCACCATTGCCCGCGTGCCTATCGGACGGATGCGACCTGGAATGAAGGCTAACATGGCTTCCATACATGAAGGTGTTGGACTATGTTGCAGGTTCTCCAAACAGCTAATGGTTGCCTATTGCGCCATGAAATATGCTGTGATTTGTTGAATGGTTGATAGCCTTTTTTGGGTCACAATTGCCATCATGGGTTTTGTTGTTCTACAGTAGATGTGGGTATGTGGCTGTGTGTTTTTGTTGTTATAGTGGAGAACCCCTCAAAAGTGGTGGGGGACATGAACCTCTCCCAAAATGACGTTTACCAAGGGTCCCCACTTGAAATTCATGACCATACGCCAAAAGTAGGGTTCCTTGGAAATGGTTGCTGTCATGTTGGTTCCCTTCTCAAAGCGCCCTATATACCGATATTTCACAGCTCCCGTTTTGACACCGCCAGATGTAGTGGTGCTTTGGGTCTGTGCTTTGTCCTGCTTTTGTCCATGCTTTTTGGGAATATCCCCCAAACAGGGCAGACATACTGTCAATGGACAAAATCCTGCACCACCTAAGAAATCCTGGAATGAATGATTTCTCTGTAAACACCAACAAACAATGGCTTCGCATGGTTTCAAAGTTGTGCAGGATTTCGTCCATCCACAGTACTACTGCAAGGGCGAAATGATTTCTTCCAATGTATTCCAGGAAGCGTGCCTCGATTTTGCCTTGAGGTACGCCGCAACCCCAGTCTTTTCCATTGGGGCCATAGGGGTCCTTTTTAGGTTAGTTTGGTTAAAAATAGATGGCACTGGTTTAGATGGGTTTTGTTCCATTTACCAGGGCTATCTATTTTTCCAAAAGGCTACGTATGATTGGGGCGCCTTGCCTCATGTTTTCCGGGGCCCTTTTCAAGAGGCCCGCGTCGCAGGCCGCGTTCCTCGGCCCTTCCGCTGCCGGCCCAAAGAGGCGGCGCCGTGCGTTCGGTGCCACATGGCCCCTGCTTCCCAAGGTAGTCACTTGCTCAAGGCTGAGCTTTGGAACAGCATGGCTGTCACCAGAACGGGTCTAAAAACGGGGCCCTTTATGGACATGTGAGAGCCAAAATGACTCATCATCACAGCACCACACCAACAGGAAGCAGAAGACTCATAGCAATAACACAAGTCTTCACAATTGAAGCCACCGCATTGTTACCCCCAAAGCAAAAAGTAACATGACACCAGTTTTCGACGTCTTGCCCCGTGTTTTGCCAAGTTCCAGCTCGCCTTTCGCGGACATCGGGACATGGCTCGCTCGCGAGGCCGGCGCCTTCCGTGGCACTTGGCCCTTCTGAAGGCGAGGAAGTGGGGCCGGGCTCAGCCCACTTGGCACCGTGGATCTTTTGAGCGCACCATCCACTTTGGGAGGTCCCCGACTTTTTGCAACAACCCCACTTTCGTCCTTTGGTGTTCGTTTTTCTTTTCCTTTTTGAAATGGCTGGCCCTCAAAAGGTCCACGCGTTTCCACCAGTGTCACAGGCCCCTTCGGGGTTCCTTAATTCAGGTCGGTGAATTACGAGCGACGAATTGCGGCAATCCTTCCGTTGGCTTATGAAGGAACTTGGTACCTTGTAGTTTGCTCATGGCAGCTCAAAAGGCTAGCCTATCCGCGTCCATCTTGCGAGGGTGTTTTGCGGTTCAGGAAGAGTTGCCAAAGCCACTTCTGTCATGGACTTGTCAAGTGACTACAATCTACTTGCGCACTCTGCCTGGGTGCCTTGCCAGGAGCGAACCAACTCGCTGGCGGAGCGAACTTGTGCTTCCAGTGGCGCCTATGCCAATGCCAATGTGCCGAATGTACCCCGGCGGGCGACCAGCAAAGCTCTCTGAGCATCCGAGGGGTTTCATCCATGAATCCCACACAAGTTGGTTGCCTTTCCGTGCTTAGGGCAAGCTCAGCGGTGTGGGCACTCAGGGGTCACTGGCATTTGTGAAATTGAGATCTCCGAGTCAGGGATTGGCAGGGGATGCCCGCTTCATGAAATCCTCAGCTTTGCCGTTCACATAAAAGATAGGTAGAACAACTTGTTCCATATTGGATTCCGTGTAATGTCGAACCACAAAGTCCGGTCCGTTTTGAGTGCCCTTTTTTCCCTCTGGCCCCATCGGAGGGGCAGGTTGGAGGGGCTAGTTGGTTGCTCCATAGCATTTCACAGTCTGATAATTGTATTTGTCACAACAGGTGGTGAATTTCATG